ACTCTTTAAATAGAGCATGTTTTAGCATATAATACTTTTTAATCAGAACCACGAGTGCTTCGTGACGGTCAAAGTACGGCGGATCACCAAACTCGTCCTCAGTGACGAGTTCAAATCTAGTGTTAGATTAGTAGTTTTCAGTGGGGAGCTGGAAGAGAAAGACCTTCCTAGATATGTCACTGCACTACATGCCAATATATGGCAAAGACAAGCCAAACCAATCACTCCTCCCAAATTATGTTTCTGAAACAATGGCCAAAACATGTTAAAATTTTAACACTTTTCATCTTTATATTATCTATACATCTGCTGTAGTTAATTTCTCCATTTTTTATGTTAAAACAACATTTTTTAATGAGTTTGTGATGGTCTCTGCTTGAGAAACATCTGAAATCGTTAACTTTGAAGGCTGATTTCTCAAATACTATTCTTAAAAACACCTGTATGTTAAATTCCTCTAACTTCATAAGGAAATGTTTACTTTTACCATTTTATAACTTCTATTTATAGTGCTTAACCCTTTAATAATAACAAAAAATGACTAGTTTGCATTGTCTTTGCTACATATGTTAATGACGAATGTCTTATAACATTAAATTTCGTCAGTCATACCTTAACCTTCTTCCTCCTCTTCTTTCCCTTTCTGTTCTCTTCTACTCCTTCAGATTCTGGCAATGGCCAACACTGCCCACTCTTATTCATCCTAGTAAGCACAACATCTTCTGGGTCATCTTTAGATTGACCTAACTTAGTGGTCACTTTAGGCTGCGCAACCTGTGCTTGCCTGGCTGCCTCAAGCTCTGCTTTCAGTTTTGCAGCTTGTTCCTAAACACAATACGATATTACTGTTTATACATTGTAATTCATTCAATAGTGATTGTACCTTTTCATTGTTTAAAGATCAATGTTATCTATTACTGTAATGACATAATAACAATTACGCATAAGAAAGTGGAGGAAAATTCCTCACAAAATATTATACTTATAGAATTCTATAAAATGGAAAAATACTGAAATAAGTATTATTAGGCAGTTTTTGCAACCTTATGAAAACAAATAACGTCATCTTCATTATTGTCATTTGTGCCCAAAACATTCTTGAAATGAATATGATCATTGATTCATGTAAAAGGCATAGATGGCTTAGGTTATAATAGATATGCTACTGAAGGTGATGGCTTGACTAACCATTTGATGGGCTGTATTGGTTATCGTTTTCATAAGCTTACAAAACCTCCCTATTATGGAAATAAATTACCATACTTACAATAAAATAATTAATTGATATCAAATAATTATCTACAATCAATCAACTAAGATTAAAAGCAGTAGAATACTGAATTGAATGATACTGTAAAAACAATTTTGCATTCTATTTCAAGATTCAGTCAACCTCTTTCCCCATTTGTGACACTTTACATTATAATATATACCACTCCATGCAAGTCTCTACTCTGCTACTATCAATATAATCAATTTACCTTATTCCAAATAAGGATCAACTGACCACAATGCCCATCAGCAGTAGAACCTACCTCATTCCCCATCAGTTCTGCCCTCAAGATCTTTGCACCCAATTGGTTCATTTCTTCTTCTGTTAATATTCTCACCGGTTCTGGAGAAGGACTACGCTCCTCTGAATCATCACTTTCAGACCCACTATCATCCGCACTACCACTGCTACTGCTACTACTGTACTCTCTTTTGCTGTCTTTAGTTGATAGTGATGCCGGTGGTGGTGTCACTTTCTGTTCTTCTTTCCTCTCAGATTCAGTTGGTGACTTAAATGATTTGTCTTTCCAGTTTTGTGATGTACTTTTTGTCTTACTCTGTTCAATATACCTCCGATATGAGGCAGTTGCTTTTTGTGAGGCGTCTCCAATACCTTCCCCAGGTCTTTTAAACATTGGTTTGTGTTGAGGTGAGCTTGATAATGATTCAGTGTCCATATCACCTGGTTTAAGGAACATCCTCCTACTACTACCATCTGTATCTTTCCTTGATTTATCTCCTATGTCTTTTCTTTCATCTCGGTCTCTATCATGTCTTCTATCATTTCCGGACCTTTCAAATCGCTTCTCTCCATGCAAGTAACTCATTCTTTTACTTGATCTGTCATCATTTCTTTCCCTATATCCATCTCTATCTCTTTCTCTGTGCTTATCTCTTGACCTGACATCAAATCTTTCTCGATCTCTCTCATCTCTTCTGGTTCTTCTGCATTCATCAATACTTCTTTCCCGACCGTGTCTTCTATCATTTTTCTGATCTGTCTGTTGGTTTAAAGCTGCCTCGGCTTCTGCTAACATTTTATTATAGTTTTCCTCGGACTGAAATGAATCATAAAAATGCATTTATAAATTAAAAGATTCAAAAAACAAATTTTGATTCACTCATTTTTTGTTCAATTGATGACCTTCCCTCTGTGAAACCTCTCAAAGATAGCACTGGAAATTATCAGCACAATACTATATTTATTACGATGAGCGTTTTGACGGTGATGCTTGGACAACCTCTGACGAAGGATGTCTGGCGCAGGGGTGGAACCAGTAGGGGCATGGGGGCACATGCCCCCCGTTTTGCCACTAAATTTTAAAAATTTCAATGCAAATTAATGTTATGTGCTACTTACTTATTCTAAAATTGTTGTGTTCCCCCATTTGAAAAATTCTGGATCCGCCCCTGTGGCACCAATCAATCAACGAGGATTTGTACAGCTCTCCAATATCCAAAGGAGAATGCAATGTTCAGTGGTGCTATGACAATCATATACTCAAAAAGCACATTAACTATGAGGTTAATTAACATGATGGAGTACATGTCAGCCCAACCAAACAGGTGCTCTTATGACACCCGAGATAGGACGGAAAGTATCATAAGAACAATTTATTGATATAATAAGTTTTTATACAAAAACATTACCCCAAATCGCTCAGCTAAAATATCTGATATTTTTTTCCCATCTTCATTTGCTTGTTCAACGGCTCTCTTATAAGATTGTTTAAGCCACCAGACCCCTCCATCGCCACCTTTCTTTGGTAAAGAAATTGAAGACTTTGTCTTGCTTGGATTTTCCTCTGGAAGGCCACTTCCACCGTCCTTCCAAAAAGGATTCAACTCATTTTTGCTTTGCCCAGGCTAAAAGAAAGTAATCATTACTGGTATTTTAATGGAAATAAATTTTAATATAGATAAAAAATATGTACCGTACTCGCGCGAATAAGCGCCCCGTTTGAATAAGCACCCCTCCTAACGTGAAAATTTCCTTAAGCACCCCGTCTGAATAAGTGCCCCCTTCTAATTTGAATAAGCTCCCCCTCATAAGATTTTCTTTTTAGCAAGTCAATAATCCAATCAATCCTGGGACTGTGGTTGTTGACTTGATTTGAGCTGTAGAGTGGAAACACATTCTTCTTCAGTCAATATCAAAATAAGGATATTTCTCTTGGACATATGAGAGCTCCGATCCCTGGACAGACAGTATATTTCCAACTTTAATCTTTTTACATATTTGTGTATATCTAGTCCTACTCCTCTTTTCCTTTTTTTGACCTTAAGCATATTCTCATCTGAGTTTCCAAGAAAAATACAATGATCCTGCCATCCTGCTAATCTCAATCGGCCGATGGCCAACAAGCTAACCACTACCCACCACTAATTGCATCTGCTATTTTGCTGTTATGTAAATATTCACGCATTCTTGTTATGAGCCATGTTCTCTGGACGATTATCTTTTCAAACCACCATTCGTAATGTCCTTATATAATCTTTTTTTCATTAAAAAAGTGCCTCTTGAATTTTTAATTATTAAAATAATTTCCCATAAGAACCCCTCGATTTTCATCTATTTCCATAAGCGCCCCCTCAATTTCCACTCTGTTTTCATAAGCGCCCCGTTTAAAATAAGCGCCACGTTTGAATAAAAAAAAATGCAAAAAAATATTTTAAGCGCCCGGGCGCTTATTCGCGAGAGTACGGTATCTTACTTTTTAATTTATTGCTCAAATAAATAGATAAACATAATATAAAATAATGTGCTAAATGAAAATGTCATTATTATATTATTCGTTATTATCACTTGTATTGCTTCTACTAATATATAAACAGTATCTTTATTTCAGAAAAATATCAAACATACAACGTAAAAGATTAATATATTGCACCTGAAACGTTCACAGTACAACAGAATTACAACCAAATTTACAAAAGGAAGGAAAAAAGAAAAAATACCATTACAATCACTATACAGAAAAAGAACTTTGAAACATATATTAAAAAATAAACACCAAGATTCCTCAAAAAACACTGGATTTAGAATAAACTGTGGCATTCATATTTCAATTATCATTACTAAACAGTTAGTAATTGCAAGGGTGGCGCTAACGGGGGGGGGGGGGAGAAGGATGATGTGCCTATATATGGTCATGATGTGATGTCATCATGACCATATTTAGGCATGATGTGCCTATATATGGTCATGATGTGATGTCATCATGACCATATATAGACATGTCATATGTTTTTATCAAATAAAATTTGATAGTCTGGACAGGGCTTCATAACATACTGTAACTATTTCAAAATGCTGCTTTGAAAATAAAAGACAATTGAATCTTGTTTTCCAACTTACATTGTCTAGGACACTCATTCGTTTTTGTTGCTCCTTTTCTTTCTCTGCATTTTTTTCTTTCCTCAAATCTTGTCTGGAAAATGTATTCATCTGGAAGGGATCCATCATCCAGTCATCTCGCTAATCAAATAAATAAAATACAATTAACAATACATATATATTTAATGCTTGCCAACATTTCTTTGTATGCTGTACTTATTTCATTTTCTATCATCCAATATAAAAGTCCGTCCAGACTATCAAAATTCAGTTGACATGTAAACATGCCTAAATATGGTCATGATGACATCAGATCATGACCATATATAGGCCCATCATGACCATATATATTCACATCATGACCATATATAGGCCCATCATGACTATATATAGGCGATCAATGCTTTTTTGTCAAAATAAATTTGATAGTGTGGACAGAGCTTATAAGCTCTGTCCACTGTCCAAAAACTATTGTATGCCCATATATAGTCATGATGTGCCTATATATGGTCACAATGTGATGACATCATGACCATATTTAGGCATGCCACGTGCTCTTGTAAAATAAAATTTGATAGTCTGGGCTTTGGCCTCATTAAGTAACTTTGAGAGTGGAGATGTTTTTATTTTTAGAAGCTAACTGTCCTGTGGTACTACCTTATACAACCAATATGTATTGAATGACATGATTTAAAGATTGCAAATATTGTACATACTTCAGTTTGTTTTGTGGCAGAAGGTGGTGGTCCTGAAACAGTATACACAGGTTTTACTGCAGCTGCATCAATTGGTTCTTCTTTTTTTTCAACCCATTCTTCAAAATCATCTTCCGAGTTCTCAGAACTTGAAGAATCATTTTTCTTCTTTTTTTTATGTTTGTGCTTCTTGTGTTTCTTTTTCTCCTTTTTGTGCTTCTTCAGTTTCATTCTTTGCTTCTGCAAAAAGTTCATAATCATTTTCAATAATTATATTAATAGTCCCATGGAGAGTTGATGCAAATTGCGGAAGACTTGAGACAGTTGATTTCCAGTTGATTTATAATCAGGCAGTAGCCCTAACCCTAGGGAGGGACTACATCATTTCCTGCTTCACAACAGACATTCATTCTGAGGCAGTGCTGGGAATATATACTCGGGAAAATATTTGGCCTAGAAATCCATCTGTGCAGATTTTGCCAAAAATTAGGCTTTGTTTGAACAAATCTTAATATATAAGTAACTGATGCAATTAAATTTAAATTATGCAGAAATTATGATTCCTATCACCTTTTTCCTAGCGATTTTCCGCGCAAATTTGAACTGATATTTTAGATAAACTCTGCACAACTAAAGACTGGACAGTATTGTATTACAATTTGGTTATAGGCATTCTGTGCACCTATTTTCATTTACATGCAATCTTAATAGAGTCTATTTTAGATATTTGTGTCGCCTGCAGAAACAAAATATAATATGTTGGTCTGATATAGATACATTCAGTACTGATATTAATATACAGTAAATGCATTCATCAATAATTACACATAAACTTACATCATTGTCGATTTTCTCATTAACTGATGGTAACATCCATGTTTCCTCTCCTCTTAGCTTCCGTACTTCCTTTTGTTTTAAATCTTTGTAAAATTTATCTTTTGCCTAAATAAAATTCAACAAATACAAAATAAATTGCTATGACATTCATAGTATAATTATAATCATATTTGCTGAACAAAGTCAATAACAGGCGTGTATGGCTATATTATTATCAGAGCAAACACCGAACTCAGGCTAGGCCCAGGTCGAGTCATGTTTGTTTTGATAGCTTCAGCATTTAACCGGGGAAGAAGGCAGTTTTACGCTTGCCGTGTTTGACATTTTAAAGACGTTCGATTTTACCTTGGCCTACACATTAAATATCTCATAAGTTACACGTTTTTAATAAATTATCAAAGAAAATGTATCACTTAAACGTAAATACCTGTTCTAAGACTTTCTCTCTGCGTTTTCGTTTTTCATTTCGTTCATTTTCAAGTTTTTTCGAACTTTCAAAACTGATCAACGACATGTTTCGTGTGGTGTTAGCAGACTGAGAGGTCACATGGATTATAAGACAAACAACAAGGATATGAATGTAGGAGAAATAACAAAACGTAAATTTTACATTAAAAATAATTATTAATATATTATTTTGAAAATCGGAAAATAAAATTATAAAAGCAATTTACAATTGGATATAAAACTATTGATAAATCTAATACCATTTATGATGACCTGACCCTGATTCCATGTCTGTGACATGAGTGTTAACTTTCTCATGTTGCAATAAACCGTAATTTTAATAATACACCCTGCAAATTCATTGTTATACAATGTTTAAGAAGTACGTATCATTTCATACTTTATCCTTAGAAACGCAATCAGGACTTTGATTCCTGATACAGATCTACATTTTCCCGTGCATTTTTACAAATGTTGCGATAAGTCAGTGATGCCTAGCTAGGCCATAGTCTAGTAGGTAGCTAGGCTGGCCAGTCCCTACTTTAGCCTGGTGCTACACTACCCTAACTCACTAGTCCTCCAGGCCCAGCTAGTCTAGTACTATCTAGACCCCCTAGTATAATGTCCTTGGCCTACCTAGTTAGGCTCTATGCCCCTATGTATGTTTAGCCAGCTTCTATATTAAATAATAAAATAATATTTAATAAAAATATAACTTCATTTCTTTTATGTTTTTATTTTGACTTAATTAATCAAATGTTTTTTGTTTTTTTAAAAATATTTTTATAACTGTCTGTGTGCAGTACTTCCTTCAATACAATACAATGAATGCTCTCTTTGAATTGATGTCTTGTTTGTTTCTCTTTTTTTTTGTTTCGGAGAATAATATAAAAAATATACCATTTCTTGATCTGGATTGATTATTGATCAGCTCCAATTGGAACAACACTCAATTTAAGATAGAGGTCGTGAGAGGAGACAAATCTGTGGTGTGCAGCAATCAGTTCCCTGAATTTGACCGAGTCACTATATTTAATGCAAGTTAGGGAGTAAGGTAGCAAGTTTCATTCCACCGCAGTGTTGGGGAAGAAAGATTTCTGGAAACTGTTAGTTTTAGTGTAGGGTATTCTAAGCGTAAGGGGGTTATGATGCCTGGTCTTGGCCACACTGGCAGCACGACTAGATAATCATTTCGTGAAGTTCATTCTGTGTGGAAGTTGCTGCTGTTGTGCTAATACTATAAAAATACATGACTATTGATCATTCTTTTCATTTTTTAAGTTAAAAAAATATATATATTTTTCAGATTTGTAGCAAAAGATAATATATCTGGGACCACACAAGTTAAGTCATCCGTTGCTCGTAATATAAGAAGTACTTTGGTTGAAAACTACCCCCCAATTGCACCTTACATCGATCAAATCATTCCAAAAAAGGAACCTTTAATTCTTGTAAAGTGGTAAGACTTTATCATATTTGAAATTACATACCCTTCTTGTAAGATGTTTAAAGAATAATGATCTTGTTGCAAACACTTATATTATATTATATACTAACTTAACTAATATACCGTTTATTATATGGTAATGGTTGGAGACTTATATAGCGCATACCACGTGGTCACCTGCAATTTGAAACCACCTACAAGCATTGTTTAGCAGGCAGTACATGACTCGCAGGTATTCGAATAGTGTTGGTATCTGGCCTGCCTTTTCCTATCAACAAGTGAAAATCTACAGAAAACAAAGATAAATTAAAATTGCTTAGTTAGCTATTTGTGTTGATTGTTTTTTATGGTACAGTAATTAACATTTTGTTTCCAACCTGATCCTATTTTCTCTTTTTAAAGTCATGACCATATTGAGCTTGTAGCACTGGGTCACCAGGTCATCTTTTTCCGGGATAAAGCAGGTGTTTTCATGCCAACACTTAAGTTACTACACAAATGTAAGTAAATGATTATCAATTTAATTAATTTACTGTATTCTTTTAACATTTTTTTTTTAATTTCAAAAGAAGAATACGTTAAGAAGAATAATTTTCAGATCATTCGGACATGTTTTTTTTTTTTTTTTTCAGATCCTATGATGTTACCCCATCAGCAGGTGGATCAAGGTGCTATACGTTTTGTACTTAGTGGTGCCAACATCATGTGTCCTGGTCTCACATCACCAGGGGCTAATATGCAAGACTGTGAAAAGGACAAAATTGTTGTATCCTTTATCTTCATGGCTACAGTTATTTACTCAATCTGTACAGTACATAGGATACATTGGGTAGTGATATATTAGATAATGTTCAGTCATTTTGTCCAGAGCAGATTAAACTTAATGACAACCGCTCAGGCTACGGCATGTGGTTGTCGCCCAAGTAACAGTTACTGAAGGTATCCAACCAGATGGTCTTCCTCTAGGATGGTTCTTTTCTGGTGGTAAAGATTTGTCCCGATGTTCCTAATCCATTGACTTTTGTACAGATAGTCATTGTTCAAATGATTTTGATATAATCATCTTACAATCAGTTATGGGCAATCAAGCTATAAATGCTATTTTTTTTTTTATAGTATATTCTGAAGTCTATTTAAAAATAATGAACCACTGGTTGTAAGTTCAGCATTAAATGAAGGGTTATTATGTTGGAATTGTTTTGACTTAACGCAACTTAAGGCCATCATGGCTGAAGGAAAAGAACACGCTATTGCTATAGGGTTAATGAAAATGTCATCAGACGATATGTAAGTACAAATGTAGGACAAAATAAACAATATTGCAAATCAGCTTGCTATTAACATAAAAATTATCAACTTGAACATATAAATTGGTGTATTAAAAAAATGTTTACTCAAATTTCACACTAGAAAACACTTCCAGTCACTGGAAGTGTTTTATTATATTACCAATTATTTTATGCTCAAGTTAATTAATTGTTTGTTATAGTTACTGCAAAATGAACAAGCTAATAACATTATTTTTAAAGATTTTTGTCATTTTCAAGGACAATTCATCTTTAATTGAATTCACAGGTTGAATAACACAAGCTGTTCTTTTTAAACCGTTGTATGCCCATATATAGTCATGATGTGCCTATATATGGTCACGATGCGATGTCATCATAAACATATTTAGGCTTGTTACATAATTTGTCAAAGTAATAACATTTCATTTTGTTTCTCTTTATAGTAAAACAGTGAACAAAGGTGTTGGTGTGGAAAATCTTCATTATGTAAATGATGGTTTATGGCAGATGAAGAATATCAAGTAGCCCATAAGGGAAGAATTCTTAACATGTCCTGGCAGCTCCCACAATCAGTGGGAATATACTGCAATAGTTCTCAGCACTGCGTGGCAAATTGTCATGGAAGAAGGCTTGAAGACGGGATTTGACAAGCAACTTCATTCATTGCCAGCCGGAATGGTGAACTTTAGAACTAATGTTAATAAGATCTGCAGAGCTATTTAAAATATATTAACCGACGTCTGTTGGACTGGGAATTACGCAAGACTTAAACATGAAGTTCACACTGTGTGAATGACAGACAAGCTTTTGGCTCAATTACATTTAACCCCTGTCCGCACATGCCTGTGATATGACATCACCAAAACAGACACTTGGCTGATGAACATACATGGAAAATAATTTTTCCGTGATTTAGATTGCAGTACAAATACTTTCAAATGCGTCTTAATTATTTAATAAGTGCTTATCGCAATTTAAAAAAAATTTTTTTTTACTGCATTCCCACTGAAGTAAATGTTGAATTGGTAGCAGATGGTGGCATATCTATGTCTCGCGTTTCTTTTTTTCCTGCACCATATAAACAAACAGCAAGTATGTATGTACTATCTATCACATTTATTGGTCAGTAAGATTTTTTTTTAACTTGCTTCAATAAAGTAAACAATATATGTTTTAAAATGTTTCCTTTATATTTTAGTTGTCTTGCAGTGGCAGATTCAAGAGGGCCATAATCACAAATTTTCTTACCTCAGCCCCAACCATGGTGGGGCTGAGGTGGTATAGATACTCCATCTGCGAAAGTACCTCCCATTTTGAATTCCTGGATCATTTTTTGAGATGAGTAGGGGGTTACCCCGGTGTACTGGTTCACTTGGCCCCTGTTGTGGACAGATGAAAGTGCGGCAGTTTACTGGCTGCGGGGGAGGAGAAAGTTATTGTAAAAAAACCATCTAGTCCCGAGCGCATAGACCTCGTTTATTTGCACTATATACATCCATCTATTATTATCCGCTACTTAGTGGTTGCAAATGTAGATTCATAATTAACAGTATGCACTAGTGTAAAACAGAATGCGAGCTCTGAATTTATTTTACTATTGATGGATTTCAACATCATATTTTATTAGGTCAAGATTGAACTACGTAGAGGTGCCACCGTGGAATCGTTGAATTCCAGGTCATGCATATACTGCATTTACAAAAACAAAAATTACATGATTTGCCCAATTAATTGTACATTTTGTTCAGATCCACTGCAGCATTGCAACCAATGAAGTTGTCATGGTGATATCCACTGTGAATGTTACCATAACAACAAAGAATATACTACTGCAGTGCCCTTAAAGAAAAGGTTTCATTTTATGCTTGCTTTCAAGTTAATTGTCAATAAAAACTTCATATAACAAATTACTTTATTGGTATATTTGTATTTCAAATAAGGTTCATCTTTATCATCAGAGTCATGTAATTTTAAAGATCAAATTAAGATGATCCATAAATACACTATTTTTGGTGCTGAGTGTCAACTACCAACGCTTGACATAATTATCTTTCATATACTTTGTATTTATATATTTGACATTAAAATACCTCATCTGCTCCTCTCAAACTTTGTGCAGTAAATTCAAATCACAAACGTACATCTGAACCTTACTGGCCATCATAATGACGATCATTTCATATGTGGTGACATGTATTTTAGACTTCATTTTATCTGACAATTGATCCTAGAGTTTCGGATGAATTTCAAAATATTTTTTTAAATTCAAACTCTAGGAAGACCAAAGTGTATAACATTGCAAGAGATCCAACTGGCCTTGATACATTACAAAAAAGCTACTACCACGAGATAGGGGCAGTACTACCAGGAGGTAGGGGCAGTACTACAATGAGGTAGGGGAACCCTATTTGAATAGAGTTCAAAACTCCTTTTGAGCAGCACCCTTTATTTCGTGGTATTAGTTTTTGAAATAGGATTACATTCCAATGAACCCCACGAGAGTTGGACTTCTTGCAGTTCTATACTCTTTGCTGTGACCAACAGTAATGATCAGAAATCACGCACCACCCTCTTTCATACAGGCATATATTTTGGCGCCCTCAATCTTCTAAAAAGAAATAATTGCCACCCTTCTTCTGCTCAGCATCTTTGACAGAATTCAGTTTATTGATCCGTGGTCTGTAGTTGGTGGGGTCTCGTCTGAAGGTGATCTCCAGTGATTCCAGAAATTGATTCATTCCATTCAGAAGAGATTGTGGCCTACAACACATAAATGGAATATTTAATAAACAATAATAAAAAGTTCCTTTTAATACATTGAAAGGCAAACAACTTAAAAAAGACAATTAACAGGGCAGAAAGTACCAAGAGCAAAAATGTAAAACCATGTGGTTGACAAGAGTTAAGAAGGGAGTGCACTAATATAATAAAACAATGTGTTTTCAATTTCTGCTTAAATAAAGGTAATGTACTGTATATAACAATGATGATGAGGTGGCCTACAAGCTGAAAGTGAAAAGAGAGTAACCCATAACTTGCAGCGTCATTGAGCATTATGGGCGTGGTCAGTGACTAGCTACAGTAGCAGCTGTAAAGAAGCGCTTTACAGTAGCTTTATTTTTACATCAGGGTTACCCCCTATTCTTCCGAAAGATGCAATGTGTTCTTTAATGTGCACATGAGCCAGATGAATACACTGGACCTCCAAGTCCTTATCCGAGAAGACTAGGTTCTACCAAAGGAACTCAGGGCAAGGAGTGACTGAAAACAGTGCTGACATTAAGGCTGTAGTTAGCGGCGCCCTCGCCTTACCGCTCGGCCACCCGACTTGGCAGAAAAGAGCTAATACCCTGTTCAATCACGATAAACATTACATGGGCAGCATGATAAATATTGCTTGACTTCTTGGGTATTCCACCCAAGGTACTATGGTCTTCAAACAACCAAATACAAACATTGTTGGATTATCAAAGAATGACAAAGCCGGGCACTCGCTGCATGTGCAACGGATCGTTTTTAATGACAACCATTCAGACTGCCACCAACAATCAGCAGATGGTTTGCGTCGTCTACCGCTCACAGAGAGCGGAGTTAGACCGTTGTAAGACGCAGTGAGTGTCCGGCTAAAAAAGGATTTAAAACTTACGTATTAGCAGTGGTTTTGAGAGATGGTATACCATCAAATACAATGACACGATCTGCTAGGTACGTAGCCATGATGAAATCATGTTCAACCACAAAACCTGTTTTCTTGGCATGCAAAATAAACCTGCAAGAAACATTATCATTTTAGTCCTAAGATTATAATTGGTCTCCGCAAATTCAATGGATTTTTCGTACTACCTGCAGAAAATAGGGATTTATTGTTTTTGAATCTTAAAACACATTAAACTATCTTATTAAATTTTATTTTATTTATTATTAGGTTTTATAATTTTTATATATCTCAGTTAAGGCAAATTTTTATTGGTATTTTAATTTTACAGATTGTAATTTTTATTTCAATTGTTCATTTTATTATTTAAGTGTAATCTGAATATTAGGAGACCTAGTTGACAGTGATTTTGTTCACTTTTCAGAAACCTGTCCCAGCTTGTTTCAGATATTTTATACTTTTACAATGTTGAATTGTAACCATTTGTTGTTTTTATGTATTTTACTGAGACAAAATAATGAAAATAAACAAAATATAGTTGGAAGACAATTCTACTCCTTACTAGTAATTTTCCTTTAGAAATTGAGTCTTTGATTAAATTCTGAATTCCAATTTAATTTTGTTGAGCGCCTTTGAGCACTATTACAATCGATACCACAGTATATAAATTTATTTGATTGAATGAAAATTAAAATGCAGTATGGATGTATTACATAAAGCAAACTAATTAATCAAGATAAAATAAGATAAGTTCATTATTCCAATAAGGGAAACTCTTTGCTCACTATCACATAATATACAAACATAAAATAAATATAAAAACATACATGAAAACAGTTATCAAAGACACTAAGAAATATAAAATTATCAGATATATTACACAAAATAATCCACCAAGTTGACTTGTATATAGCACTAAAAAGTGATTTTTCTATCTTGTATTTGTTAAATATTTAAATCAACTCTGATGTACTACCTTTTGATGACTTTTGCAGCCACTAAACGTTGTTCGGAATCCAAGTATGCTGAAGGCTCATCAATAAGGTAGACATCGGCAGGTTTTCCGAGGCAAAGCGTTAATGCCAAACGCTGCAACTCACCTCCAGACAGATTTTGGACCTGTGAAACAGAACAGTGTCAACAATGATAAAACTGATTCCTGTAAACAATGCATGTGTAAAAACTACAGTATATTACAAAATGTAATGGTGGCTGCAAAAATTTGCAAACAAGGAGTCCAACAAGCCCGACTAAAAAACAACCGACCAAAATATAAATCATTGTAAAGCTACCGTCACATCTAGCCCCGATCCGGAGCCAGACAAAAATTTGTGAGTTGTTACGATTTTTTGAATGCAGCGTTCAAATCGCACACAAAAATTGGTTAGTCGGGGTTGAGTATACATTTGAAACAACCAAGCTTGTTGCTGATTGGTCTATTGAAAAAAAAACATACGATTTCACAATACAAATTGGTCTCAAATCTATCACTCCGGAGTAAAGTTTGGAAATGGTATGAATTTGATGTGAATGGTCCTATTCTTTATCACTGAAACCATTTTTCATGATCTTTTTTGTCTCGGCACCAAACCAGATCCGGGTTTCGGTGTGAAGGTAGCTTTAAGGGTCATGAGGAGAGATTTAATGGGTTAGGAAGATCCAAAAATGTGTTTTAGACCACAATATTAGGGACCACTGTCCCAATACACATGCAATAGTCAACTTGTATATTGATTAAGATCATGATGAATATGATAAAGATGATGATAATTTTGATAATGATGATGAAGACTGTAAATATGATGTTGATGATGACAATGATGATAAAGGCTAATTATAGTAATGTATGGTGGCTGTTCAGGTTAAATCCACCTACAAAACCAAGAAATATCATTGCGTGTGATACTCAACTTGTTTATTAATGATAATGATAATGATGATTTTGATGATGATGATGATGGTGAATATGATGATGACAATAACGATGAAGGCTAATTATAGTAATGTATGATGTCCATTCAGGTTAAGTCACACACAAAACCAAGGAATATTATCAAAAGTGATAGTCAACTAGTGTTTTGATGATGATTTTGATAATGATGACGAACATGGTGAATTTGATGATGATGACAATAATGATAAAGGCTAATTATAGTAATGAACGATTCATTCAAAATTTGAATTGGTTGCAAATAATAATTATGACTATGATGATAATGA